CCCCCCAGTGGCAGGGAAAGAGATGGCCACTGTGACTGCCAAGCTTTGCAAGAGGCCAAGACCCTGCAAGCCCATCTTCCATTTTCTGGCTGTGGGGGGTTCTGCCACCTCGGGGAGAAGTCCAGTGGGCATGGTGCCAATGTAGTACGCCTGGGCCTAGTCTGGGCCTTTTTCCGTTAACCTTTAAAGGGTCTTAGGTGAAGACCACGTCTACCTGACCACCAGCTGTTAGTTGGCATCCCTTGGGACGAGAGGTGACAACGAACAGCCCTTTCTCACTTTCCTTCCCCACTCCCGTGCCTCCCTGAAACGCTCCTAAAATCCCGGGAGACAATTTTTTTTTAATTTACTCCCGGAATTTCAGGAGTGTTCTGTGTTATTTGTCTTCCGTCTTCTGTGCATTCCCACATTGGGACTGCACTTGCACAGGCCAGCTACTGGTAGCTCTCTACAACCATTTATTCTAGTTTGGTGTAGTGGTTAAGTGCGCAGACTCTAATCTGGGGGGAACCCAGGTTTGATTCCCCACTCCTCCACTTGCACCTGCTGGATGACCTTGGGCAAGCCGTAGCTCTGATAAGAGCTGTTCTTGAAAAAGAGCCATTTCTTTCAAGAGCTCTCTTAGCCCCGCTTACCTCTGTTGTGGGGAGGGGAAGGGAAAGGAGTTTGTGAGCCGCTGTGAGACTCCCTTGGGTAGTGAAGGGCGGGGTATAAATCCAATCTGCTCTCTTCTTCTCTTCTATTTAAAAAAGGCACTAACAGCGGAGCCCCTCCCTCGCAGAGCTCATTGGAGCTTCTTTCCCGCTGAAAAGGTCACGTGCTCCACAGGGAGGGCCCCGCTTTCCGTCTTGTCTTCTCTTCACTGCCGCATAGTGAGGACGTCTTTCCTACAGCTAGAGAGTTTGTGAGGTGTTTTTTCCCCCTGCAGAGAAGTTCCTCTTCGGGGCAATTCTGCATCGGTTAAGTCTCAGAAAGCTCTCTTTAAGAAATGTTCCCAGTGTGGGACCAAAAGGATTCACTCAGATGAGTGCTCACTCTGCCTTCTCTGCCTGGGCAAGGCCCACAACACTGCCACATGCAAAGTACGCTTGTCGTTTACTCCTAAAGCCTGCTCTGATCAGGCAGCACATCTAAAGGCCAGTCTGTGGGGGGAAAGGCAATACCCGTCTCTAATGAATCGGCGGCAAAGTCTTCTGCCCCTTTGGAGCATACCCAATTGTTCCTCTTTAAAATACTGAAAAAAACTTGGGAATTTCATGAGTCCACATTCCAGTGCCTCAATTCCATTGGTTCTGGGCATTGGACCGGGGTCAGGTAGCCCTGTCATAGATCTGGAATGTGGAGGGGTACTCTCCTTCTCGTTCTCAGCTCTCTCCTGTTCAGCTACTGTGTGCTATCTTACACTTGACCTTGTAGATGTTCCAGCTGCAGTTTACATGGCTGGGAAAGTTAACGGCTTTTCTGCTGTGCCTGCTTGCTTTGCTGCTCGCGTGAGTTATATCCATTGGCTCATGCTTACAGGGGGAATGTTTGATTTCACAATAAGTCAGAGGTCCTTGTACTGATGGCCATTCCTGACACAATCTGTACACGTGTTCTTTAGTACTGGAACCACTAATAAACAGTTATCTTCTTATGAAGCCCTGTGTGGTGTGATCTGACTAGGGAGCCTGACTACCGGCCATTACGGGTTGATCCCCTGTCCAAGCTGCAAATCGCTGCTCCTCGGAACCTCCACCCAAGAAGGCGGCGTTCCAAGTCGAAGCACAAGGATCACCAGCACACCAGTCCCCAGAAGTTATCCAAACTGAGTGTGCCAACACCAACAACTTCCAAGGAAGTTCTGATGTATCAGAGTACGGTCCCGACACCTCGGACCCCTCTCCCCACGCTTCACCAGTGCTTTCCTTATTGGAGGGAGAGCTGGGACCAAGTCAGGGTGTGCTACCAATCCAAGCGTCAAACCAGCCATTGGCATCTCCAGCTCTGGCAGGGCTCCAAACCACCACCTCCGTGGCAAAGGCATAACTACTACCTTCCATCCCCTGGCCCCAGGAAATAGGGTGACTGGTAGCGACAAGGCATATTGTGGGAACCATATCACCATACGGCAGAGACCCTTGAAACAATGGGGCCGCCAATGGGGTACCGATGGGGTTCAGTTCCGATGGGGTACCGATGGGGTTCAGTTCCAAGTCCGAAATTGAACAGAGGGCTGAAACTCCATTTGGTACAGACTCCGTCTTGCTATTGGAACCATCCCCAGATGACACAGTGGGGGATCCAGATCCAGTATCCCCTAATGAAGACTTGAGACTCTATACAAAATTAAACAAAATATATGTATTTATTGCAAAGTGTACCGAAACTAAGCTTTAAAAATATTGGCACAATCCGCCATGGAAGTGGCAAATATTTGAATTAAGAAGTCCTGAATCTATGTAACCTTTCAATATTTCTAGGTTAAAGCCTTGAAAAAATAAAACAGGACCACTAATTCCGTATATCTGGTTTGATACGCTTGAATAGTGCTAAAATAGGACCAAACAACGTTTTGGCTTCCGTTTGCAAACAGAAATTAAAGCTTCCGGTTTTTGGCGGCACGATGGCGGATGTGACCCTTTTGAGCTCCTGGGGTTGCGATCTGAACGCCAGTGGCTGGGGGGGGGGCAACTGTTCATTACCCCCACGGAGCCCTTTGGGATAGGACTCCAGCCAGGGGGCTTTTGAGGGTTTGCCTTTTCAACCGGCTCGATGCCGGGGAATCGAGGCTTCCCTCCGCCCCGAAGGTTCTACTGCTGTGCGGCCGTATGGGAACTAGCCAGAATGGACGATTTAAGTTTAAAGATGCAAAATAAAAATGAGAAGGTACACATAAGGAGATGGGATAAGGTATATGTATGGATAGAACATCAAACAGAAAGGTAACTAGAAAAAGATTTGACATGAACTGTAATACTGAAGGTTGCACCACCAACAGATAAACTAAATAACTGGAAATGAATGACTCTGAATTGTAATCAAGCCAATGAAAAATGGATATGTATATTCTTTTATTGAAAATAATAAAAAAATTTAAACACGAAAAAGATAAAGAAAGCGGTGAAGACACTTCTTCAACTACTGAGGAGGACTCTGAGTCGGATTTTGTGATTAACTGATATCAGGTTTTGGGGAACAGTGGCTAGATTTAAATATTCAAGTTCATTGTAATATTAACAGAATAGATTAACATTGTATAAGCTTATGTAATGATCTTCACTACTTGGGTTTTTAGTGGTTAACTTTCCTTTCTCCTGTAGATATTAGATCCCCTATCCTAATTTTCTTTGTAGTTTATAGAAAAGCAATTAAAAAATCCTCTTTGGGGGGCCCAAAAAAAAAAAGTCTTCTGCTGGATTAGACTGGTCATTTATCTAGTCCAGCATTCTGTTTCTGTTTCACACCGTGACCAACCATTTGACGTGGAGGACCAATAAACAGAACATAGAGCCCAAGCCCCTGATGTTGTCTCATGGCACTGACAGTCAAGTTTGCTGTCTTGGACTATGGAGCTTGTCTTTAGTCACCACAGCCGCTGATGGACCCGTCTTCCATAAGTGTGTCTAATTGCCCTTTCGAGCCCTCTCTGCTCATCGCCCTCACTACGACCACTTGCAGTGAATTCTGCAATGTAGTTACTTGCGCAACGAAGAAGTACTTCCTTTTGTCCATTCTGAATTTATCGCGCATCGGTTCAGTTGGGAGATCTGTGGAGGATAGGTCCATCAATGGCTATTAGCCATGCCAACTAAAGGAAACCTTTACGTCCAGAATGCCAGTGTTAGGAGGCAACACTGGGGAAGGCCTTGGCGCACCAGAGCTGGTTGTTGACCCTTCAGGGTGTGCGAAATAGGATGCTGCATCATTAGTCTGATCCAGCAGTGTATCTGTTATGTTCTTTTGTCACTTTTCTCAACCGTCTCCATAGTGAGCCAGATGCACGCTTCCTCGTTGGAGTACAAGTTCATCAGCCCTTCCCGGACATTTTTGCAGAGACACAGGTTGATAAATCCCTAGATCGTAACTACGTTCTACTGCTTGGCCCTCAGTTTTTTGTTTGGACTTGAAGTCTTGACCGTTGTCGGTTGGAAGAAAACGAAGGAAACTGTGATTTCGATATGGTGTGGCAGGACAGGCCTCTGGTTTCCAGGTCAGCTACTGCCTTCTGAAGCAAGCAAAGTGTCCCTGGTGCTCGGGTGACTCATGGCTGGGGTTTGGAGAGTGCCTTGCTTGGAAAGGAGTATGTTTTGGTAAACGGACTAGAAGTGACAAAAATTTAGAACTATCCAAGTCTTTGAGAGAAAGTATACAGAGAGAAAGCTGAACAAGAGGAGGTTTCATTGAGTTTGTGAGCATTATGCAGGGAGACAACATGCAGAGATGAATGCTGAGTAGGAAAGGATTCACTGAGTCTACACATATTGTGCTCTGAAGAACCCTGTTGAAACAGATGTTGGAGCAAGTCTGTCTGCAGATTCGTGACCTTTTATGCTGTTTGTCCGCAATCCAATATTAGTACAATAAAAAAACACAAAGAAGATTTATTCTTTGTTGCACTTATTTGCATTGGATGATGCTTGAGGTGAAGAAGAAGAAGAAGAGATTGGATTTATACCCCGCCCTTCACTTGGAGTCTCAGAGCGGCTTACAAACTCCTTTCCCTTCCCCTCCCCACAACAGACACCCTGTGAGGTGGGTGGGGCTGAGAGAACTCTGACACAAACTGCTCTTTTTCAAGGACAGCTGTTGCCAGAGCTTGTGACTGACCCAAGGTCACATCAGCAGGATATTAGTACAAGAAAGACACAAAGAAGATTTATTCTTTGTTGCACTTATTTGCATTGGATGATGCTTGAAGTGAAGAGGACCTGGTAGACTCCTGCGACAGAGAAGAACTTTAGATTACTGGACTGTTCTTGTCAACACTGTGGAATCATTTTTTGATGTTTGTTCTTGTGTAAATGCACGGAAATGTATTAACATGTATCTGTTTTTTTTGGGGGGGGGAAGAGTGACGCTTCCTTCGTAAATATATCACCGTTGTCATTGACTGTTTTCTACTGACATCCTGTGATCAGAGGTCATTTCGTATAAAAATAGGTGCAGGAGCTCATTAGCATAACTTATTTGCATATGCCGCCACCCCCTGACATCACCGGAAGTGTGTCAGAAGGCAGCACCCACTGTTCAGGCTCCACTGGACTGTTTTGGATTGCTAGCTATTGGGGGAGGGGAGGAACGTGCAGATCTGTCCTCACAGAGGAGGGAGAGCTTGTACCTGAATAAAATTTGGTCTTAAAGGTGCCACTGGACTGTTTTGGACCGGGGGTGGGGGGGCTCTGCAACTTACCTGGCTGCCTCTTGCTCTGACTGAGGGCTGTTGGGAGCAGGGGCTGGAGCTTGTCGCATGTGCCCACCCCCTGGGCTCTTTACTGCCGGAGCTCCACTCCTGTGTGCTCCTGCAGGAAATGACCCCTGCCTGTGATCACTCTTTGGTTTTCCTGGCTTGGGAAGCTAGCAAGCACTGTGACACATAGTGGCTCAACATGTGGTGCTTAATATCATCCACGCCTAATTGTTTGGATGGAGTTTTCTGTGTGTTGTCATCTGTGAAGTGGGAGTAAAGCATGTCCAAAGGGCAGGTGATGCGCATGAGAGCACAAGCCCTGTCTCCAAGGGGAAGGCATCAGGGAGCCCAACTTGCTTTCTCTCCACCCTGCTCCCGACCCAGATGGCCTGCATTCATTTCCCTCGGGCATAAGTGTAAATAGGGTGCTCGTGTAAACCACTTTGTTGCTGAAGCATGGGATGTTAAGAAAACCAAGCACCCGTCTATGTGGTTTCCTCCCCACTAGAGATGTAAAATCTTTGGAAAAATTGAAAAAAATGCTACATTAGCACTTCTTTTTTCATTTCCAGATTGAAAGTCATTCTGTTACTTTAGGAACATAAAATATGACTATGGACATTTTTACTTGGCATGAAATGATCACAACTAGCCTATTAAAAATATAGTGTATCCAAACCATTATTACAAACAGAATACCCACCCACATGCAAACACAAAACTGAAACCTTTTTCTTTTCTTGTGACAATAGCACCTCCTAAAGGAAGAAATGCATCTTGTTCTTGCATTGGAGAGTTCAGTTTGTAACCTAGGACTTGCTTGTCCTCAGTGCACAGAAATTAGATCAATTTGATACCATACATATTTTTTAGAAATGATTTGGAAAATATTTGAACACCTTGTCTTAAAATATTTTATTCATCATGTTAAAATAAAACGTTCCATAATCAATTTCTTTTCTTTTTTCAATTTTTTGGAGGAAAAAAAAAGGCTTCAGGGGAAAAATGGAAAAAACCCGTATTCTCCCCAAATTTTTCCAGTTTTTTAAGGGCTTTCACATCTCTAGTTGTAGTACAAACTCCTTGGAGGAAAAGGGGCAGAGCAGGTAGGAATCCCTCTGCCCCGATGGAACCATTCCTTTCCCAGGCTCTTCCTCTTCTTGTCGGGGCGTCTTCAGGCCCATAGCCACGGCGGTGCAAAAGGGGGCTTGGCCCCATCAATCCCTTCTTGCGCCCCTCCAATTGACATGAGTGGTCGGTGTGAAATCTTTCACAAGTCTTTCAAGTGTGGATTCTCTATGTAAAAAAAAGGGAGTCGAGGTTATAAGGTGTGAATCCTGTCTTAAATCTTCCAGCAGCCAATTCTCTATGCTAGAACAGAGTTAGCAGCTAGCAGGGCTGAAGACTCTTGACTGTAAAAGCCTGTAAAGTGTGTGTGTGTGTGTGTGTGTGTAAAATCACGTGTGTGCGCGGGCGGGAGAGAGAGAGATCCAATTAGATCTTTAATTCTATTTGATTACATTTTTATATACTATGTGATCCACCTTGAGTCTCGAGGGGAAAAAACTGGCAAATAAATAATAAAGTATAAATAAATGAAAGAGCAGTTTTCTCAGAGCTCTCTCAGCCCCACCCACCTCACAGGGTGTCTGTTGTGGGTAGGGGAAGGGAAAGGAGTTTGTAAGCCGCTCTGAGACATCAAGTGAAGGGTGGGGTATAAATTAAATCTCTTACCTTCTCTCTTTTTAAAAAAAAAATTGATGACCTGTGGTACAAGAAAGCATAGTAGTAGTGTGCATCCTAAGAAATTAATGTGGAAAGGTTAATTATCTGTGCAAATTGTAATGGCTTCATTTTCTTGTGTTTTCCAGTCAATCCTTGTTTAAGAAGTCCAGCACTGGAAGATTGTGTTTTGTGTCAGGAGTCTGTGTCATCTTCAGAATTTGCAACGAAACCCATGGCTGGAGACTTTGAAGGTACTTGATCATTTGTGTGAAAACACTTGAGGACTGCATTGTGCATACTAGAAAGGCTGTTAATTAAAACAGATATCTGTACATCTGGTATAGTCTGAAAAGTTAAATTTTATCAATAGAATTTTGAGATTCCATGAAGGTTACCAGTCCAGATTAACTATATCATGTATTTAATTCTAAACTTGGCCCCAGAGTGTGGTTCAAAAAATCTGTACAATGGGGCCAGGTAGACAAAGGGGAGATTTTTCTACCAACCAGGGGGAATTCAGGTTGCCGTTGTTTCCTGGGGGAAACCAGCAATGTCTCTGTATGTGCAGATGCTGCAACAGTGGAATCCCTTGTAATACATTGCAAGCTCTCCCCGTGAGGAGCCAGCGGATGAGCTAGTGGCAGGAACTTACCTGGCAGAAAGAAGGAAACTGTTCAAGAGTCTTGGCCCAGGAGGTCAGACCACAGCATGAGTTCTAGAGGGAACCCTCACTGCCCCACAGCCATACTGGAGTTGGGGAAAGTAAAGACGAGAGCAGCCTGCACAGGGATTGGTAAGGCGAAGAGGGATGGAGTGGGAAATGAGATTTCCCCTCCTCGACTACTATTCCCGGGCCCTTATTTTGTCTTTGTCATAGCAGCACCTAGCTCCCCAAGACCGGCTAGAATGCTTTAGAATACGCTTCCCTTTTCTGTGCATCCTCAGAGCCACAAGACTTTGCCTGCCGGGCCTCCCCAGCTGGTGTGGTGTCACACGGGGAAGAGGTGGGACAGCCCCCCCCCCCACAGCCATTCGTTAAGCTGTGAAAGTACACCTGCTGGGGCTGCCCCAGTAGTTCTGCTCTGAGAGCCCCAAGAACGCCTAGAAAGGGGGGAACGGGTGGCTTTCAGCTTGCTGGAGCCTGGCTGCAAAGTTGGGCCCGTTTTCAGTTTGGCAATAAAAAAAAAAACAGTTTGCAACACTTTTTGCATGTCCCCACTTAACTCATTCCTAAAGTCTATGCTTATAAATGCATTTGCTAGAGGACACTTGGAATTATTTTGGAGGAAGATGTATTTCTTACAAGGCTTGGGAAGAACGTCTCCAAGCACTGTCTTGGCAATCTAGTGAAAAGTATCTTAAACTAGTAGTGGAAATGCAAGCCTGGTAAGCAACGTGGCTAAAGCTGTGAAAGCAACTAAGAAGAATGTGTGTGTGTGAAGTACCGTTAAGTTGCAGCCAAATTATGGCGACCCTGTAGGGTTTTCAAGGCAACTGATTAAGCAGAGGTGGTTTGCCATTGCCTTCCTGCACAAAGTTGTCCCTGGTGGTCTGTCTCATCCAAGTTCCGACCCGGCTTAGCTTCCTAGATCTGATAAGACCGGGCTGTACTATACCGTTCCACATCAATGCTCCCTCTAAGCTGTGGAGTCTTGTGAGCAAAAATTATACATTATGAGCTCCTGGCATTCAAGTTGTGAGCGAGCAATTTGGCTGCTGCATGAATTAGTTTGCTCTGGAGCCCTCCTTCCTGAGCTAAGACAAAAAATGTGTGAGCCGGAGGCTAAAAAACTGTGAGCTAGCTCACACTAACTCAGCTTAGAGGGAACACTGTTCCGCATCCCAAGAATGCGCATTGGACTTCATCAATGTTTAGTGATTCTATACTGTGTGTTATGTGCTACCAAGTCGCTTCTGACTTATGGTGACCCCGTCAGCACTGCTCGGTCTTGCAAACGGAGGACCCTCCTGGCTTCCTTCTACTGAGTCCGTCCATCTCCTGTTGGGTCTTTCTCTTTTCCTGCTGCCTTCCGCTTCCCCCCCTAGCATTATTGTCCTTTCCACTTAGTCTTGTCTCCTCATAACATAGCCAAAATACTCGCCATAGGCTGTGGTCACACGGAGTATTAGCCACGCTACAGAGACGGAAGATAGGCGGATTTTCCGGGCGCGATCACACCGCAACATCTGGGAAGCGTAGAGCTCCCGTGGTGGACCCGAGGCTTCCCGACGAAGATGCGGAGTTAAAAACTAGTACCTCCGAGGTACTAGTTTCCGGAAACCGCAGGGCAAGGGCTGGCGTCTGATCGTGTTTCCGGTGGTGGCATCCGGCGCCCGCCCATGTCCCTTCGCAAACAGTTCCCCCCCCCCCAAGTCTCCACAAGATGCACACAAGCACCCAACGGCGCATGCGCACAAAGAGGAAAGCGAAAGTGCCGTTTCGGCTTAAAAAAAATTACCCCGTTTGTCCTAGCCATTGCTTGTGTGATCGTGCCGTGCCGCTTCTTTGCCGTGCTGCAGGATCGTCGTGTGATCGCCACCCTCGTTTACCTGCCGGCGCGAGGGCAGGACCCGTGGTGTGCCGCCAGCGTGTTGGATCGCGTAATCGCGGATCAAACTGTGCCGGGGCAATTAGCCACGCCTCCCCGCGCGCGTGCGGTATCCAGCCCGTGTGACGGGGGCCGTAGTCATTTTAGCTTTCAGGAAGAATTCAGGATGTTTTCTAGTCCCTTCATAGCTGCCCTTCCCAGTCTCAACCTCCTTCTGATTTCTCGGCTGCAGTCTTTCATTTGGTTGATGATTGAGCCAAGGAATAGAACATCTTGAACAATTTCAGTTAATTTATTGTCAGTCTTAACGTTTGGTAAAGTCCTCAGTGCTCCACCCCAGTATTGCCCCCACTTTTGAAGATTATAAATAAATACATGCATTCAGGAAAGGAGAGAAAGGCAGAGGAATAGGGAAGGAAGGGGCCGTGGCTCAGTGGTAGACATCTGCATTCTGTGCAGAACCTCTCAGGTTCAGTCCTCAGCATCTTCAGCTAAAAGGATCTGTCGTCATGTGAGAGACCTGCACTTGAAGCTCTGGGACAGGCAGAGTAGACAGTACTGAACCCCAGCTCAGCTTGCGTGAGATGTATTGTCTAGTTTGGACCTCTCTCACGCACATGCACATTCGTGTGCTTTTCCCACTGATGTGCCCTGCATTTTTGTAGAAGGGCTGTGGCTCAGTGGAAGAGCCTCTGCTTGGCATGCAGAAGGTCTCAGGTTCAGTCTCTGCCATCTCCAGTTAAAGGGATTAGCCAGTAGGTGATGTGAAAGACCTCTGCATAAAGACTCTGAGATGGAATGTAAATTTGTGCAACTTTTTATTCAAAACAATAAAAAACTATAAACCGCAAAAAAAAAAAAAAGACTCTGGAGAGCCACTGCCGGCCTGATTCAGTGTAAGGCAGCTTCATATATTCATGTGAAGGGAAAGGTCTGGGGTAGGGATGGGCACGACCCGGCAGTTTGTCACGAATTTTGGGCGGTTTGTAAAACAATGTTTGCAAACTGAAGAGCCGCCATGAACGTCCGTGAATTTTGGTGCAGTTCATTCACGAAAAACAGCTGTTTGGTTTAAATGGCTCTGAGCAGCTTTAAACAACTGAGCAGCGGCTGCAGGGAGTAGAAAGTAGGGGTTTACACTTTAAATGGCTCACAACCCAATACAAACCAGGTTGGTTCCTGAACCATCCTCCCGGTTCATGTGTGTCATGATCTAGGCTGTGCAAGCAAAGGCCTAGCAGGCCCGGGGAGCCTGAGTAGCAGTGGGAGGAGGCCGGGCCTAAAACTCCCAGAAGCCCCTGCGAGGTTTTGGCCCCAGTTTTAGTCCATCAAAGAGAAAGGGGACTTATAATAAAAGAGCTGGTACAGAAGGAGAGCTGTTCTTTCTTCCAAGAGAGTAGGGCCAGAGGGAAGGCTGCTGCTGGGAGAGACCCTCAGCCTGAGGGGAAGGGTGAGCAGACTCAGGCCCAACTGAGACAATGAGCCTAGGGACTGTGAGTCTAGTTGCGTTAGGGCATTTGGTTTCTTTTCCCTTCACCCCCTTATTGCTATTGTTCTTGCACCTTGTGCGTTTCACATATTTGACTGACCTCCTATAAAAATAAACCTCTTATTTGTTGTTTACTCTGCCTGGTCCTCACGCCTATTATTCGGCCAAATAAGGGAGGTCTGAAGGCATTGGGCCTTCTCAAGGGAACCTAAAACCAGAGTGGTGGCAGCGTCAGGTGACACCCCATCTGAGCCATGACAGTATGGGTTGGTGGTTCAACCACAAACCAAACTGCAAAAATGTGGTTCGTGCCCATCCCTAGTCTGGGGTGCGGGGAAAGATTGGGAGCAGGGAATTGAATGAACCCTCCCTTCCCCCCCCCAATACCATTTATTTTCTAGCCCCAGCCCACCTGTTCAGTCCCACTGACTTATTGCTATCATAGAGGGTAATCTGAGTATAGTGTTTTAGTGCTAAAGGAATATTATCTGTGTTAGTCACTTCTCACGCTTAGTATTCTATTTATATGGAATAATCTAATGATTGTTTCCGCAAACTGGCTGCTTTACGTGAAATCCTGATCCTTTGCTGCTCTTCCCCCCTCCAGATCCTCCTGACTGGGTGCCAGATGAAGCCTGCAGCTGCTGTACTGCATGCAAGGCACCCTTCACCGTCATTCGCAGGAAGCACCATTGCAGGAGCTGCGGAAAGGTAGTCTTTTTAAGCCCACATTTGATGCGCTGCCAGCTTGGGAGGCACGTGCAGAGCGCAAAAAGCCAGGCCCGTGCCATTCCTGCACTCACAGAAGGCTGTGCTGCTGCCCGGGGAGGGTGATTTGGACATGGAAGAACGGGTCTTTGCGCCAGTTGTTTTTCTGTGCAAGTCTTGTTCTCTGCACCCTGGAGCTGCACATTTGTGATCGAATAGTAATGGGTAGCCTCACCATGCAGATCAAACATCATAAGAACATTAGAAGAGCCCTGCTGGATCAGACCAAAAGTCCATCTAGTCCAGCCTCCTTATCTCGCACAGTGGTCACGCAACTCCTCTGGAGGGCCAGCAACAAGGCAGAGAGGCCGAGGCCTTCATAAGAACCTAAGAAGAGCCCTGCTGCATCAGATCAGTGGTCCATCTACTCCTGCATCCTGTCTCACACAGTGGCCAACCAGGTCCTCTGGAGGGCCAGCAACAGGGCAAAGAAGCTGAGGCCTTCCCCTGATGTTCTGACTCTAGGATTCAGAGGCTTAGTGCCTCCGAATGTGGAGGTTCCCCTCAGTCACCATGGCTAGTAACCATTGATAGATTAACCTCCATGAATCTATCTAATCCTCTTTGAAAGCTGTTCATTCCTGTGGCCATCACTACATCTTCTGACAGCAAATCCCACGTTTTAATCACTCTCTGTGTAAAGTACCCTTTCCTTTTGCCTGCCCTGAACCTACTGCCCATCAACTTTATTGGTTGCCCTGAAGTTCTAGTATTTTGGGACAGAAGAAGAAGAATTGAGTTGGTTTTACACCTTGCTCTTCACTACCTGAAGGCGTCTCAGAGTGGCTTACTACTGCCTTCCCTTCCTTTCCCTGCAACAGTCACCCTGTTTCTTTGTCCCACTCCCCCACCCGTATTTAACTTGGACAATTCATATGCAGTATTTTAAAAAAATTGTAACCCACTGTCAGGGTCGTTAGTCAGGTCACACCACACAGGGCTTCATAAGAAGATAACTGTTTATTGATGGATCCAGTACTAATGATCACGTATACAGCTTGTGTCAGGAATAGCCTTCAGTATAAGGGCCGCTGACTTATAGTGAAATCAAACATCCCCCCCCCCATGAGCTGAAGCCAATGATTATAGTTCGCGCACGTGGCAAAAGCAGGCTAGCAAGCAGGCCTAGCAAAAAAGCCGTTACGTTCCCACCCGAGTAAATGCAGCTGGAGACCACAAGGTCAAGCCTGCGATAGCGCACAGTAGCTGGACAGGGTAGAGCTGAGAACGAAGAGAAGGAATGCACCCCTCCACATTCCAGATCCATGACAGGGCTCCCTGACACCCACATCTCCACAATGTGCTTGTGGTAGTCTACAGCAACGTTCCCTCTAAGCCGTGGAGCCCTGTGAGCAAAAATTGTACTTTCTGAGCTACTGGCATTAACGTTGTGAGCGAGCGATTTGGCTGCTGCATAAATTAGTCTGCTCTGGAGCCCTCCTTCCTGAGCTAAGACAGAAATGTGTGAGCGGGAGGCTAAAAAACTGTGAGCTCGCTCACACTAACTCGGCTTAGAGGGAACACTGGTCTACAGTAAAAGCAGACTTCTCGGCATAGTCATCATTACAGAACAAATTTAAATGATATCTGTGTAAACCAGATACTCAGCCAAGTCCCTGACCTAATAGAGGCCTCTTTAGCCGCCACTTCCTCCTCCCCCCTCCCTTCCCACCCAACGTGGAGGGAGAATAGTTCTTTGAATGCTCTGGGTTCCCAGCCCCCGTTGGGTTTTACAGGTCCAAACCCGCAGCTTGAAATGGGCCCACAAACAAAACGGTAGCCAGTGCAGCCCTTTTAAAATCCGGGTGTTAGGACGACAGTAACTGCGGCCTACAAACAGTCATGTTCTGAACTGGTCGACACTTCCAAAACATTTTCAGAGAGAGTGCACAACTAGAATCTACTCTGCAGGTGATCAGCGCAGGGGGCTAGATCCCAGTTCACCAACCAACGTTAGAGAAAGCTGAGATTTGCTTCTCTTTGTGAGTCCAGATCTGATTGCATCCACAGACTCTACACCAGTGTTCCCTCTAAGCTGAGTTAGTGTGAGCTAGCTCACAGTTTTTTAGCCTCCGGCTCACACATTTTTGCCTTAGCTCAGGAAGGATGGCTCCAGAGCAAACGAATTCATGCAGCAGAGCCAAATCCCTCGCTCACAACTTTAATGCCAGTAGTAGCTCACAAAGTAGAATTTTTGCTCACAAGACTCCGCAGTTTAGAGGGAACATTGCTCTACACCTTTTCCTTCGGGGTGAAGGGCACTTAAATCTGTGCCACTGCCCGCAGCACCTGAGTCCTGCCCGTATTGCATCTATTCCTAACTCTGTGAACCAGGGTGAAGCTTCCGAAGCATGTATAAAATCTCACAAGGAACCAGGAAAGCTTAACTGTTCAAGAATGAGGGCCGTTTCCCTGAAGGCATTTTTAAATTTTCCATGATCGTGTAGATGTTGATGGAGGCAGGAGGCAGTAAACTTTTCTCTCTGGAGTTTTCCCCATAATGATAGTAAGTGCTCTTCATCTCTCCATCCCTGCAAGTAGTGTCTGCAATCCTGCGGAGAATTCCTGGCAGGGGGAGGGGTGGTTTTTGCCAGTCCCTCCCCCACACACACACCTCCAACTCCCCTAAAGAGCCAGTTTGGTGTAGTGGTTACGTGCGCAGACTCTAATCTGGGAGAACTGGGTTTGATTCCCCACTCCTCCACTTGCACCTGCTGGATGACCTTGGGCAAGCCATAGTTCTGTCAGAGCTGTTCTGGAAAAAGAGCAGTTTCTGTCAGAGCTCTCTCAACCCCACCTACCTCACAGGGTGTCTGTTGTGGGGAGGGGAAGGGAAAGGAGTTTGTAAGCCGCTCGGAGACACCTTTGTGTAGTGAAGGGTGGGGTATAAATCCAATCTCCTTCTCCTTCCAGAAGCATACCGAATCTGCTTCAAGGTGCTGGTTCTTACCTTCAAAGCACTTTATGGCCGGGGTCCGACATACCTACGGGACTGCCTTTCCCCGTATATACCCCAGAGAGCACTACAGTCTGGGTCTCAAAATCGGCTGACCCTCCCTGGCCCGAGGGAGGCCAGGTTAGCTAAGGCAGCGGCCCCTACCTGGTGGAACGAGCTCCCGGAGGAGATCAGGGCCCTGCGGGACCTCTTACATTTCCGCAGGGCCTGCAAGATGGAGCTCTTCCGCCAGGCATTCAATTAGGGGCCGCTGCCGTCGGAGCGCCCGACCGTGGCAGCACCCGGCCCACGATCCACCGTCGAGTTGTTGCCATAAAGAAACTACGAGCAGAAGAACATCTTAGAACATTGGGAAATGGAAACCCATTGAAAATGTACCATCTAAGTGAATTTCAATTGCCGCCAGCACTTCATGCTTTTCGATTTGTAGCGCTTTTAATAATTGTGTTTTAAACTGTATATACGTCGTGTCGGAAGCCGCCCTGAGCCTGCTTTGCGGAGAGGGCGGGGCACAAACTTGAAAAAACAAAATAAAGAAGCACCATTTGGCCTGCAACGGAGTCGTTTTCCTTGGATAGAAATCCCTTCTGTCCATGGAAATTCCAGATGGGGGATCGAAGCCAGTGACTATAGACATGAAAGGCTTTTCTTGAAGGGGGTGGTGGCTGAAATGCTATGCAGCTGTTAGCAGGGCCGGGGTGGGTGGGGGAGAAATGCAGATGCAGGCAGAAAGCAAAACATGTTGGAATCCATTTCTGTGGTGTCTTTTCAGATCTTTTGCTCCCGCTGTTCCTCTCACTCTGCCCCATTACCTCGCTACGGCCAAATGAAGCCTGTTCGGGTTTGCACCCACTGCTACGTGTTCCACGTGACTCCCTTTTACAGAGACAAATGGGACGTCTGATGAAAAACTAGAGCCGTGAACCAGTCTTGCACCGTCATCTGCGTACGGGGCTGCCTTTGACCCCATCCGAGAATAAACTTGAAAGAAGGGACCACGTTTGGAAGGGCAAGTGGATGGAAGCTTTGACCTTTTGTGTTATGTTATTTTATTTTATTTATTGCTGCATTTTGTTCAACTGGTAAAGTGGAATGTGAAGCACTTGTGGCTCAAAACAGTATTCCAGTCTTCCATGTTTATAATATGGCGTTTACGTGTGCATATCCAAAGTGTGTGAGCGGCAGGGAAGAGAAATGGATCTCAGAACTGGGCCGTTTGGGCAGCTTTTCTGTCGTTCCAGTCCTTCCCGTTTGTACCGCTGTTGTGGCCTGGCATAATGCCAGCGATGCATGGCCCCCCATCCCAGTTTACCGAACCCAATGTAGCAAGTTTCATTCCTGAAACTACATCTGCATTCAAATATCAGACCAGAGACCAAGCTACCACATTAAATGCTAGGCTTTGCAGCCCGTTAAACAGCAGGCTTTGTGGCTCACGGTGCCCCCACAGAGCGACCCCATTCACCTCCCCTTCTTTGATGAGAGCTGCAAACCTTTCCGCACTCAGCATGCCCTGCTACTCTAGCCCTGGAGCTCTTAAAGCTTCGAGCGCCACACCAGCAGGGAAGGGTATGTGGGGGCCATAAAAGAGAAGAGAGAGGGTGCCAGTCTTAACCTCCCATTGCTGCCCTCAACCAAAAGCCCGGCGGAACACCTCTGCCTTCCGCACCCTGCGGAATTACGTCAGATCCCACCGCAGGGCCCTCATGTCGATCGGCAGAGAGTTCCACCAGGTCGGGGCCGGGACCGAGAAGGCCAGAGAGAGACAGAGAAGGGAGAAAGCAAAAGCAGAATTGGAGCTCGGGTTGGGGAGGATTCCTCCTACAGTATGAATGGCTAAATAGCAGGGGGTTTGGAACCAGGCTTGGGACTAGGATTGCCCGTTCCTGGTCGAGGACAGCCGGACCTCCCGAGGGCTGGGGATCACCAGCAAGTTGCCATCAGCTCATATCCGCATTCTTCAGGGGACATATCGGAGGAGATGGTCCTGAAAGTGCATGGGTCCCTGACCACTCAAGGCCTTGGAAGTCAGCAATTAACACCTTAACCCTGACTTGGCATTCCACTGGTAACCAGTGTAGCTGGCGCAGCACAGGTTGCATACGTGCTGTCCGTGGCGTTCCTGCCAGGACTTGCGCCGCCACATTCTGGACCAGTTGGTGCCTCCGGGTCAGTCTCAAGGGCCAGGCCAGTGTAGAGTCTCTGAAGTTCAGACAAAATACAGAGAAGGGAAGAGAGGAAAGGGACATTTCTTTTCATTCAAACACTAGGCGTCTCCCTTTCAGACATAAGAAACTGCTCCTGCCCAGTAGCGTCCTGCCAGGGAAATACCAGGTGTTTTTACATGTATAGAGTAAAATGGTGTTTTTTCCCCTAGGAAGGGCTGTTCATGTTGTGTGCACAAATACACAGGGACCATGTCCCTTAGAAACTGGGGGACGGGGGAAACCATATGGGCAAGCTAATGTTCAAAATACAAGGCATGAAAGATTTTAGCTCTTTTTTATTTTTTGTATTTACATCACTTCAATTAATTTTGCCGTTTGGGCAGTGTTCCAGAATCTGCATAACCCATTTTTTCATCTTATCAAAGAATTTAAACCGAGTAAGAAGCTTACAAGCACCTTAGCAAACTCTTATCAGAGCATAATGCCTCTTTGGTGCCAGTTTGGTGTCGTGGTTAAGTGCGCGGACTCTGATCTGGGAGAACCGGGTTTGATTCCCCCTACTCCTCCACTTGCACCTGGCTGGACGACCTTGGGCAAGCCGTAGCTCTGAAAAGTGCTGTTCTTGAAAAAAGAGCCGTTTCTGTCAGAGCTCTCTCAGCCCCACCTACCTCACAGGGTGTCTGTTGTGGGGAGGGGAGGGGAAAGGAGTTGGTAAGCTGCTCTGAGACTCCCTTGGGTAATGAAGGGCGGGGTATAAAACCAATCTCTTCTTCTTCTTTCTTTACTTTCCCTCCCCCCCCCCAAAAAAAAAATAGCTGGGAGCATTTCCCATCAGATATGGAAAATATTTTTTCCCTTCGTTGCACGGGACTCTTCTTCACACAAAGATGACCAAAGCAAAAAAAAAGTTAACAGTGCTAAAATGTTTCTGCACAAGTCGCTTGCAACACAGTGGCCTATTAAGCCTTATTTACAGCACGCAAGAGAACATAATTCAAAACAGATAGTACATGAGTGTCTATACTTAAAAAAAAGTCCAAGAATATATAGTTAACACATTATTATTAAAAGCCAAAATGGTTAGGGGTAGGGGGTGGGGGTGGCAAAGAATGAATAATTTCTTAGCTTTGTCATGAGGCGAAGGCGGCCTAAAAGCTCTGCCCTGGGAATAAGCCCCGTTGAATAAGATGGGACTTACTGTCTAGTAGACCTGCCAAGAATTGCTCCGTAAAGCTCTGTGAGATCACTGAAGATAGATCGAGATGGGTAGCCGTGTTACTCCGTCTGTAGCGGTTGAAAAGAACAGGAATCAAGTAGTGCCTTAAATACTAACAACAACAACAACAACAAACCTTTATTGGCATTACACACTAAGGAGAAAATACTAACAAAATTTGCTGCAGGGTGTGAAGCTTTTGTGAGTCACTGCTCACTTCTTGAGAGCCAGTTTGGTGTAGCGGTTAAGTGCGCGGACTCTAATCTGGGAGAACTGGGTTTGATTCCCCACTCTTACACTTGCAGCTGCTGGATGACCTTGGGCAAGCCATAGTTCTGTCAGAGCTGTTCTCTAAAGGACAGTTCTGGAAAGAGCTCTCTCGGCCCCACCTACCTCACAGGCTGTCTTATGGGGAGGGGGAGAGAAAGGTGTTTGTAAGCCACTCTGCGACCACGCGTCGAGTGAAGGGCAGGGTATAAATCCAATCTCCTCCTCCTCCCTCTTCCTAAGAAATGTGGCAAAAACTAACAATATTTCCGGCAAAGACTAACAAAAAATGCGGGAAAGACTAACAATATTTCTGGCAAAGACTAACAAAAATGTGGAAAAGGCTAACAATATTTCTGGCAAAGACTAACAGAATTTTACTAGTCTTTAAGGTGCTACCGGACTCTTGTTCTTTTTTACTGAAGGATATCAGGATAGTATATAACAAATAAATAAGCTTTTTTAAAAAATTCCTGAGGCAGAGTTTATTGGGGGGAAGTTTTTAAAAAATTATCTAATGACCTTTCACTGAATGGATGGAAATATTTTAAATTTATTGTAATATGCTTCCATCTCCAGTACTCAGGATGGCCGATATTTTAACTTGCCCTGTTTTTGTGCCTTTAATAAGAGCCTGGATTACAAAAATGTAGCAGGTGAGGTTTTCCTTGGTACAGAGATAAAGGGATAGGAAAAAATCTTAGTTTGCTGAATTTCTCTGTGTTGAGCTGCTGTCAAAGACACAGAAGCAGGGCCTGTCGGAGTCCCAAAACAACGTATGGTAGTGCAGGGGTCCCCAATCTTTTGGAGCCTGCAGGCACCCTTGCAATTCTGAAACTGGGTGGTGGGCGCAACCACATAGGGTTGCCAAATCTGCAGAACTTACCGGTGGGGGAGCGTCCAGCTGGTCCGGGAGCCTTTTGCGGATGCGCGCGCGCGCCGCCAGAGCGTCGCCAGAAGTGACGTCACGCGCTGGGCGGGACCACGCCATTTGAGGGGAAAACTCTTTGTTTTCCCCTCAAATGGCGTGGCCCCGCCCCCAGCGTGCGACGTCACTTCCGGGTG